CTACCAAAGTCTTCTCGATACCAGGTGAATATTTGACTGAGTTTGAGATCCTTACGCTGCAGGTCAACTTGACAACCGTCGTCGCTCTCCAAGAACGCATTAGCCGCCAGTTTCAGTTGATTATCAAGGCCCTGAGGAAAGCAATAAGCAATTATCAATTTCAATGTTGTAATAGGCTCGTAACCAGGGTTTTTTATTTTTCAAACAAATACTTGATAAAACAAACTATCCCTTCCCCTTGCATGAAATACCATCAAAATGAAAATAAAATCCAAAATACACTCTCTACAGCTCTAGGGAGCTTCACCCCTGGCCCTCGAGAGTACCTGGCATTTCCTTGACTCTTGACCCCTAGCTATCACAGGTAAACCACATTAAGCATTAAGAATATCTATTACAGTACATTCTTCTGTGTGTTGCAGGGGCTCAGCAGAATGGTCCATTATAAAGGAACCATATAGTCATGTGTACTTACATCAGTTGAGTAAGTCTTGATGGGTGGACAGCTTTTAGCTCCACAGACAAGCGCAAAATGGATAAGAGGTTCTGGCTTCTCCAAAGCGACCTTTAACCTTGGATCATCCTTACCAAACGGTCTAAATAACATGCCGACTCCTTTTCGGTTTGATCGCAGAACGCCATTCTCAATGTCTTGTAGGCTGTATAGTTGTCCTCCAATAATGTAACTAACTGTATTAAAGAACTGAAATTTAAAAAAAAGTAACATTAAGTTTTCTACTCCTTCCATCGTTAATATCTGCCACTAGTGGCAGATTCAGGAAATTGAAGAGGGGCCTGGGAACCTTTGCAGGTAAGATTCTAGACCACCTCAGCCCGAACATGGTTGGGGCTGAGGTATGAAATTTTACACCTGCATTTATCAAAAATTAAGGGGGAGTGAGAACCTTGAATCTGCCACAAATGGAAAGCTAAGCTGAGTATTGTGTATTTTATTGGTATTTTTTCCATGACCAGGGTAAATTTACATATGACTGACATACTACTGTACTATCAATATTATTTCAAACCTTAAAAAGTAGTTTTATTTGTTACTTAGTATTTTTAATTATAGCGCCTTTTCCTTAACGCTATAAAGCGCTATGTTTTCCCTGGTCATTGGATCCACATGCTTAAGTACTGCTGCTATTTTTGCACAGTAGCAGGCAACCCCAACCAGGTAGGCCTACCCATTTATACTCCAGGGTGGAGAAAAGCAACACAGATAAAGTGTTTTACTCAAGGACACAAGTGAAGTGCAAGACGATGGATTGAAACCCCACCCTCACGGTTGGGAAATCAAAACGCGCCAAACCGCTGTGTGTGTTACCCGCGAAGTTCACACCACTGACCACTTAATCGGTGCTATAAGGTAGTACAAGATTAATATAACTGTAGTGAGGTCCGGGGCTAAATGAGCAATAATTGTACAGTATTGTATAACCAGTAACCAAAGAGAATACCTTATATCTCTGCCACATGTTCATTGGTGGACCATTGACCACATTGGCGTGGATTACCAGAGCGTTGTAGATATTGATGAAAAAAGCTAACTTCTCTTCTCTGCCTGCTGATTCAATATCAACTCTGATAAGTTCTGACGTTGCCTTTACGTAGGACTTGAATCCCTCACTAGATTCAATACCCTTGTAGTCCACTGCCTGATATAACAATAAAAGAAAAAGGTCTACAAAACATATGCTTTGGGGGGGG